TTTTTATCTCGTTCTGTGTTTGATAGCTGTTGTTGTCGGGGCGTTTCATATCCAGCACCACCATTGCTTGGTGGACACGACTTTTTCGGTGTATTTTCTGGCGTTTCCATCTTGGCAAATTATCACAATATATCAGCAAATAGTCCTGCTGTTACTACGTCCCGTTTTCGAATCGTCTTTTACACCGTAAACGTGTTTATTTTTATATTTTTAAGAATTAAATTCTAAATTTGGCGCTTGAGAAATACTAGCGCCATTTGGATTTTATTTTTTTCTCCTTTCATTCATTCATTTCATTGACATTTCCATGTTCATGAAAAGTTCGTGGCCGTTGGTTTTCACGCCGCCGTACCTTTGCCTTATATGCCGCCGGCTGATATGCCAAATAACGCGATAAAGGGCAAAATAGAATAAGCGATATTACAGTTATTACAGTTTGGATTGCTTATGTCAACAAGTCAAATCATATGGAAATGTGTTAGGATTTACTTTTGTCATGGTGATCAAAAAGATTGACGTTAATTAATAATTTTGTGCCTTTTAATACTGTTTTAATCATGGTACAATGATATCAAGGTAGGGCTATGATACCATATGATTTTAATTTTTTTTATTTTCTTGGCTTAATCATCTTTATTTGTTTATGTATGTGTTTTCTTTTCAATAACAAAAAAAAATGTTTAGAAAACTTCAAATTTGGGTGTTTTCAAAATGTTTATTTCAACGTATGCATCGACAAAATCTAGAGTTTTTGTAGCGAAATAATCCTTTAAGCTGCCCTCAGACACACCAACAGCTGGCCCAACTTGTCACTTTTAAGTTGTATGAAAAAGTTGGTCGGTCTCCTCGCACGTACCAACTTTTCATACAACTGTTGAACCAACTTTTCATTTACAAAGTATTTTTGAAGCGTCAACATAAACTCGGATGCTCTTGCGCTACTTGGAATTGATATAATTTTAGAGGAAGAAGTAGAAAGACAACTGCAGAGAAAGAAAAAGCTGAAGAAAAAAATGTGGTCAAAGCAGTGGTTCATAAACAGAAATAAATTGTTTCTATAAAATCGCGCTTCCTCTTCGCAATCACTCATTTTTATTTATGTTTTATTTTAGTTTTTTTTCTTGTTTTGTTTTATGATTATGTTTTGTTTTCGTTTCTCTTCTTGCGCTCAGCGCTCAGCTTATGTATGTGCTGCTTCACCAAAGTCAAGACATAAAAGAAGAAAACACTGAAGCGCATTGACGCTTCCTCTTCGCGCGCATTGACGCTTCCTCTTCGCAATCACTCATTTTTATTTATGTTTTATTTTAGTTTATTTTTTCTTGTTTTGTTTTATGATTATGTTTTGTTTTCGTTTCTCTTCTTGCGCTCAGCGCTCAGCTTATGTATGTGCTGCTTCACCAAAGTCAAAACATATAAGAAGAAAACACTGAAGTTGGTACAACTTGGCCTCGCACGCACCAACAGTTGGCCCAACTTACGAAATTATAAAAAATTTTTGATATTTCAAACCAACTTCAACCAACTTTCGAAAAAGTTGTACAACTAGCCCTCAGACGCACCAATAGTTGTACCAACTTGTCACAAGTTGGGCCAACTTTCGAAAAAGTTGTACAACTAGCCCTCAGACGCACCAATAGTTGTACCAACTTGTCACAAGTTGGGCCAACTTTCGAAAAAGTTGTACAACTAGCCCTCAGACGCACCAATAGTTGTACCAACTTGTCACAAGTTTGGCCAACAGTTGGTGTGTCAGAGGGCTAGTTGTACAACTTTTTCGAAAGTTGGTTGGAAATATCAAAAATTTTTGATAATTTCGTAAGTTGGGCCAACTGTTGGTGCGTGCGAGGCCAAGTTGTACCAACTTCAGAGTTTTCTTCTTTTATGTCTTGACTTTGGTGAAGCAGCACATACATAAGCTGAGCGCTGAGCGCAAGAAGAGAAACGAAAACAAAACATAATCATAAAACAAAACAAGAAAAAAAACTAAAATAAAACATAAATAAAAATGAGTGATTGCGAAGAGGAAGCGTCAATGCGCGATTTTATAGAAAAAATTTATTTCTGTTTATGAACCACTGCTTTGACCACATTTTTTTCTTCTTCTTCCTCTAAAATTATATCAATTCCAAGTAGCGCAAGAGCATCCGAGTTTATGTTGACGCTTCAAAAATACTTTGTAAATGAAAAGTTGGTTCAACAGTTGTATGAAAAGTTGGTACGTGCGAGGAGACCGACCAACTTTTTCATACAACTTAAAAGTGACAAGTTGGGCCAGCTGTTGGTGTGTCTGAGGCAGCTTAAAGGATTATTTCGCTACAAAAACTCTAGATTTTGTCGATGCATACGTTGAAATAAACATTTTGAAAACACCCAAATTTGAAGTTTTCTAAACATTTTTTTTTTGTTATTGAAAAGAAAACACATACATAAACAAATAAAGATGATTAAGCCAAGAAAATAAAAAAAATTAAAATCATATGGTATCATAGCCCTACCTTGATATCATTGTACCATGATTAAAACAGTATTAAAAGGCACAAAATTATTAATTAACGTCAATCTTTTTGATCACCATGACAAAAGTAAATCCTAACACATTTCCATATGATTTGACTTGTTGACATAAGCAATCCAAACTGTAATAACTATAATATCGCTTATTCTATTTTGCCCTTTATCGCGTTATTTGGCATAGCAGCCGGCGGCATATAAGGCAAAGGTTCGGCGGCGTGAAAACCAACGGCCACGAACTTTTCATGAACATGGAAATGTCAATGAAATGAATGAATGAAAGGAGAAAAAAATAAAATCCAAATGGCGCTAGTATTTCTCAAGCGCCAAATTTAGAATTTAATTCTTAAAAATATAAAAATAAACACGTTTACGGTGTAAAAGACGATTCGAAAACGGGACGTAGTAATAGCAGGACTATTTGCTGATATATTGTGATAATTTGCAAAGATGGAAACGCCAGAAAATACACCGAAAAAGTCGTGTCCACCAAGCAATGGTGGTGCTGGATATGAAACGCCCCGACAACAACAGCTATCAAACACAGAACGAGATAAAAATGGACGAACTCCACAAACACCTGGACGAGCTATTGGCTCCTTGGTTTTGCTGACACAAAAATTCGTCGATCAACAAAAAATAGAGATAATTGATGTTGGAAAATAAATGTTTACTCACATTGGTGACTTCTTAATGCTGTATCCAGTGGTGTTTTTCGATAGTATGTTTAGGGGCTATGCTCGGATCATTTTGAAATTTTTACCGCAGGTAGGTATTTGTAACCTGATTACGGCAATGTAATTTTTTTGTGGGGGAAATACCCGGTTATTCGACCCAAAAGTTCGAATACAACATCCGGTTTGTATCCGGTTCTACGTAACCGATATATAATATGGGTATCATTTGAAAGCTTATGAAAATACCTATCCAACAAGTGGTCATATGACGGTTGCTGGAACCGGTTTCGGAGAAATTTTGGAAAATTTGCATTTTTATATGAGTACTTTTTGAAAAACCCATAAAAACTCGAAAATGGACCCATTATAGGGTCTATTTACGAAAACTACAATTTTTAGAAAACTATTGATCGCGTAGCCGGTGTTGGACATACCCCAGAGGAGAAAATCTTAAGCCTCGGCCGAAGGCCGGCTACTTACAAAAATTACAATTTTTAGAAAAACTATGGATCGCGTAGCCGGTGTTGGACATACCCCAGAGGAAAAAATCTTAAGCCCCGGCCGAAGGCCGGCTACTTACAAAAATTACAATTTTTAGAAAAACTATGGATCGCGTAGCCGGTGTTGGACATACCCTAGAGGAGAAAATCTTAATGGGTCCATTTTCGAGTTTTTATGGGTTTTTCAAAAATTACTCATACAAAAATGCAAATTTTCCTAAATTTCTCCGAAACCGGTTCCAGTTTTCAAATGATACCCATATTATTGATATCGGTTACGTAGAACCGGATATAAACCGGATGTTGTATCCGAACTTTTGGGTCGAATAACCGGGTAACCGGGTATTTCCCCCACAAAAAAATTATATTGCCGTAATCAGGTTACAAATACCTACCTGTGGTAAAAATTTCAGGTCAATCCAAGCATAGCCCCTAAACTGAACTTAAGCCGATATAGCTGCCATATATATTTTCGACCGATTTCGTTTATTCGATGTACCAAACACGATGCGTATCTTCGATTCCAATGAAATTTGGAAAAATAATTGTCAAATTATTTGAAATCGGTTCAGATTTGGTTATACTTCCCATATATATTTTTGGCCGATTTAACATATTTGATGCACAAATACGATACGTATGTCCGATTCCAATGAAATTCGGCAAAGAGACGAAATTTGGTACCAAAAAAATTATACTGAAATCGGTTTAGGTTGGGTATAGCTCCCATATATATATTACGGCCGATTTCACATGTTTGTGGCACCAAGCACTGTATGTACCTCCAATTTCAATGAAATATGAAAGGTGTGACGAAATTTATTGTAAAAGTAAATTTTGTCAAATTACATTGAAATGGGTTCAGATTGGAATATGATTTTATAAAGAAACATTTACCATTATTAACGGGAAGTATGTGGCTACTTAAAATGCAACAAAAAAGCCACTCATCTTCAAAGGGATGCAGTGTATACGACACTGGTTGTTAGAATATGCATTTTTTTTTAATTTTTACAAATTGAAATAATTGTTCATTCAAAAATTTCAATTCCAAAATTAGGTTGATAGTTCATTGTCCCAGCAGCTGTGTCGATGCGACTACCTGTATTCTTCTACCATGGTAAGAATATAGCAAACATCAGCTGAGCTTTATTTTTATCCCTTTTTGAATGTATATAGACACAGAAATGTAAACCACTAGATTTATGAAAGTCAGAGGGTAGCGTCAACTTTAAAGTTTCAATTAATTTACATTGGAAAATTATAATTTTAGGAAATGTAATTTTGTCGGCGAGAGAGCTGAGGAAAATAGAGATTCCTCCCTCAGTTTTCAACAATCTCTTCTACATAAAAACTGACAATTGTGACAGGATTGCCTTATGTAAATATGGACTCTGTGAATGCTCATGGCGATTTTACACCTACATAGTGAAAAAAGAACTATCTCAACCAAAGGAACTAGTTGAAGAAATGGGCTCTTTCATTGAATACTTTCTTTGAACCAATTGTTTGTTTACAATTTCTTTTTCTCAACACGCGGTGCCATAGCCGCAGGTCTCGCCTTTAAACATTTGTAAATAATCAAATTTTAAATTAAATCATCTACGGTTGAATAGAATAAAAATGGCCAACAAAAATTCAAGCAAACCTAAGCTTTCCAAGGGAATATTGGAAATGAAGTTCATGCAGCGAACCAAGGAGAAGGTCAACAAAGAAATTGAGGCCGCCGAGGGTGAGTTACATGGGCACATGAAATTTATGGTATATTATAACAAAATAACAACAATTCATTTTAGGACGTGAAATGTATTCCAGCGAAATTACCGAACGCATGAAGAACAGTAAATCAAATTTCATTACGGAACCCAGTTTTGTGCATTGCGAAAATCTCATTGAGGGCCGTTTAAGTTTTCGTGGTATGAATCCGGAAATCGAAAGACTTTTGGAACTGGAAAAAGCTGAAAAAGAAGCCACGAAACGTCACGAACAGAGCACAGATGTTTCGAATGAAGATATGGCTAAGTTCTATCACGATGCTAAGGCGGCTGGTGCGGGTCGTACAATGGAAAATAAATTCAATAAATACAAAAAAGTCAATGCACAAAAGAGACACATGAAAGACGTAGATGCAAATGAGGCGCAACCAAATCAAGGTGGTTTTGCGGGGAAAAAGCGAAAAGGAAAATTTATGAAACCCAGCGAGGATGATAATTAGTTAGAGATTAATAGAATATACATATAATTAGTAATTAGGTATTATAACAAATTGACTGTTTCCTTTATTATAGTTTGTTTATATTTGATATAATATAAATGCTTTGCAAGAAAAACAGAAGTGTGAATGTGTATGAAGGGGTATACATTACATACGAAAACATCTGTTTATAAGGGCTGTAATTGCAATGATCTTATTAGAAGAAGCAGCAAACTTAATGAGATTTTTAAATAGCTTATTTTAAAGATTAGAATGCATTTTATTTATATCTTTTTTGAAAACTAAACCACAGATTTGTGTAATTTTTAAATAAATTTATTTTATTTAATTAAGACTTGTCTACACATTTCGATGGTATATTTTCAATATACCATCAAATTAAGCCTGGAAATAAGTATGTCAAATTCACTCTGTAACAATTTTTGGGGAAATATATCAAAAACAGCACAGAAATACCTTTCCAAAATTTTATCGAGATCGGTTCAGATTTGGGTATAGCTCCCATTTACACCTTCGTCCGATTTGCCTTTTATTGTGCACCAAACGTGTAATATTTGCCCAAATGGGACTTTCTTTACTGGTTTTATCTCAAATAATTGCTGAATTTTTATAAAGCGATTAATTTAGGTGTTGGTTTAAAGTAGGGCACCTCCTCCATAAAGTTTCAACATTTTGAATATCCATGTAGCTCATACAACACGAAATTAACATTCGATTTCATTCAGACTTGGCACATTTCAATATTTCGATCAACTCAAGATTTGTTATAAAATTGGTAGGGCACCTCCTCCACAAAGTGTCAACATTTTGAATATCCATGTAGCTCATACAACACGAAATTAACATCCGATTCCATTCAGACTTGGCACATTTCAATATTTCCATCAACTCAAGATTTGTTATAAAATTGGTAGGGATCGGATCATTCCTTCTGGTACCTCCCTCACTAAAGGTCAAAGTTTTGAGCAACCAAAACGACCATAAAATCCGAAATAAACATCCGATTCTCTTCATATTTCACACATCACAATATTTTTATTAACTCAAGGTGTGGTGTGAAGGTGAAATACACCCATCCACTCCTTCTGGTACCTCCCACACAAAGGGTAAAAATGTTGAGCAATCATGAAGCTCATAAAACGCGAAATTAGCAAACGATCGCATTCAGACTTTGTCCATCTCAATACTTCCCTAAACACAAGACTTTTTATAAAGATGATGGAGATCGGTCCATTCCTTCTGGTACCTCCCTCACAAAGGCCTAAAATTTTGAATAACCAAAACGATCATAATATCCGATATAAGCATCCGGTTCTCTTCAAATTTCACAATTCCCATTATTTCTACTAAAACAAGATCTTCTGTAAAGATGGAATATATCGGCACGATTCTTGTTGTATCTCCCCCCAAAGGTTCACAATTTTGAATATCCGTGAAGTTCATAAAACGCGAAATTAACATCCGATTCCATTCAGACTTGGTTCATTTCAATATTTTCATGAGCACAAGAGATCGGACGATTTTTTATGGCAACTTACCCACATAGAGTCCAAGATTTTGAAAAACAAAACGCTCAAAGAAAGCGAAATAAGCATTCAATTCCCTTCAAGTTTCACACAAGATCTGTTGTGAAGATGATATATCTCTGCGAACCCCTTCTGATACCTCAACCACATAGGCTCACAATGTTCAATACTCTTATCTGTGATAACTTATGAAACAAGTCAGCCATTTTCTACAACTTGCTATTTCTAAATATTTCCTTCAACCAGAAACCTGAAATGAATATGGAATTTATGATTCCGCATAAAATTGGATATAAATGTTCGATTTGCTAGTCACAAAATGACCATACCAATATTTTTATCTGTATTGGATAAAGTATGAAAATGGAATACATCGGTCGACTATATCTGATACCTCTCCCACATTATAAGAGTTATTACATATATCATATAAAGTGAATGAAGTAACCAATATAGTCCAAACCTGGCATGTCGCAATATTTATATCATATTTATTAATTTCGATGCGAAATATACAATATTGGCCCATTCCTTGGGAACCTACTCCTTAGAGGGTCAACATTTTGAATAATCGTCACAGAAGTCAAAGTATATTTGAATAATAGAACATAGGCTGAGGGTATATCTTTGTCAGCATAACCGACACTTTTTAATTTGTTTGTTTATAATTTTGAAATAAATTTGTGTTTTTATTTTAAATCCATTATTATAATTATACTTCATTTTTTAACGGCATGAAGTGCATAAAACATCGATGTGCTGTCAGTCCAACGCCATGTGTTTCGGAAAAAGTTGTAAGAGCTGCCCCTTATAAGCACTGTATCACAGTTCACTGCAAAAAAGAAAACAAACTTAAAAATTAAACCGTACGTTTAAAGGTTTCGTTTTTCGATTGTAAAGTATGTTAAATAGTTTCCGATTGAGTATTTCAAAATCATGTGCCAATAATTTGTTTTAAGATTACAATAATTGCATAAATTGCAATTTTTATAGCGAAAAATGAGATATGAGAATTTGGGTTCACGTTTTGGTATAGCCCCCATATAATGGTACCTTCCTATTTTCAGTATTTTGATGATTTTAGAGACATTATTCACTGGAAATGTTTCAAATTTGGCATTTGAAGTTCGCAATGGATACTACAGCCTATGACAGAAAATTGTCCGTGCAGGTCCACGTTTTGGTATAGCCCCCATATAATTGTACGTCCTTATTTTCAATATTTTCATGATTTTAGCGACACTATTCACCGGAATTGTTTCAAATTTTGTATTTGAAATTCGAAATGAATGCTACAGCCTATGACAGGAAATTGTCTATGCATTTTCACGTCTTCGTATAGTCCTCATATAACGGTACCTCTCTATATTCGGTATTTTTTTGATTTTAGCCACATTATTCACCGGAATTATTTCAAATTTGGTATTTGAAGTTCGAAATGAATGCTACAGCCTATGACAGAAAATTGTCTGTGCAGGTCCACGTCTTCGTATAGCCCCCATCTCTCGATATTAGGAATTTTGATTATAGTTGTGTTCCAGTACTTTTTTAGTAGTAAAACTAGCAGAAGAGAGAACAGTTCGAAATGTCATTCTCATTTAGGTTTGCTCAAAAAATAAGGGAACGGAAAATTAGCAGAAATGCGATAAAATGTCAAAATTCCAAAAGTAAGCAACCTAAAACGGACTGGTGAAACCTTACTAAAAAGAGCGCCAACATTTAAAAAATGAGTATTGAATAATTTATAATAATAATTAATAATCTGATTCCTCATTCAGCCAGTCCTCTTCACTGCTGGAATCATCCAAAAGTGAATACATCAGTTGCTCCATATTTTCTCTTTTTGTTTTTTGCACGACAAATATTAGTTTTTCCTTTAGTTTTCAAGTTGATCATTTTCTTTATTGAAATGTATCAATACATTTTTCAACCTTGTTACCCCTGCCAATTAAATGTCAAATTTACAAGTTGCACATTTCTGCTCAGCAAAATTCATGTAGCTAAAACAAGCAGAAATGTGCACCACTCAGCGCCATTTTTTTCTCGAGAGAGCTGCAAGTTTTGCTAGTTTTTGGAGTACGGGAACGCGTTGTAGCAGAATTAGTGCTAATTAGTACTAATTTGCAGGTTCTGGAACACAACTTATATTAGCGACATTATTTACCGATTCTTTTAAAGTTACGCATTTGAATGTTGTAATAGCTTATGACAAAAGTTAACTATGCAGGTCCACGTTGTCGTATAGACCCTAATATAATGGCTACATTCGGATTTTTTTCCAATTTTAACAGAATTTCTAACGGATTTTATTTTTTGGAAAATTGCTAAATTCGTTGCAAATGGTGGAGGGTATTCAAAGTTCGGACCGGCCGAACTTACAGCTTCTTTACTAGTTTTGTATTTTACTAGTCAAAATTTGGCATGGTTGTTATATTGTTTTTGAAGTATTGTCCTTCCTTCCTTCAATAGTTTTACCATTAAAAAATATGGTGACATAAATTTGTTTAAATATTTCTTATTTTCAACTCACTTGTCTTCAAAATACGTTCGACATCTGCTGGAGATATCATTTTATTGTATTGATGTGTACCAATCGGTATGGACTGTAGCACATATTCGCCAAATAAAACACCCACCAACCACATTGAAATGGTTTTGTTTAGCGTTGTTATAAATATTGATCCTCCGGGCTGTATAGAATGTTTAGGAATATTATTATAAAATATCATTCAGCCACCAAACATATTACCTTAACAGTGCTGATACTTGAAGTTAAGAAACTAATTTTATCATCAATATGCTCTAAAACTTCCGAAATAACTACAGCATCATAAAAATTCTCCTTGGCATGGGCATGTAATTCAATTGGTTCCCTTCGGTACTGAATGCGCGGCAATAATTTTGGTTGCTGTGACAAATGTCCCTGGGCTAGGGCAATTAAATTTTCACTTAAATCCAAACCTGTAACATTGGCTCCCAAACTTGCCAAATTTTCGGTAAGGATACCACCGCCACAACCAATTTCCAAAATTTTTTGATTTTTTAAGATTTCCTGAGAAGCGTTATCAACTGACAACAGCTTTCCTTGACGTTGTAAGCCATCACAGATGAATGGAACTCTAAAGAAAGGTAGTGAGATTTCAATTGAGCCACCGAGTTTTGTTTTAAATTCTATCGCACATTACCTTAATTTGTTATAGGAATGTAGAGCCCGCATAGGTCCTGTGACATTCCACCAATCTATGGCCAAGTTGGAATGGTGTTTCACATCACTTTTGGTATGTTCACTTAAATTAAATGTTTGATCTTTAACACTTTCTCTTTTATCAGAATTCGTTTGCACCTTGCGCAGTCCAGTCCGAAGGCCCAAGGATTCAAATTGAACTCTGCTATGTATATAAATGTATTATTTTTATATTTGAATATCAGAAAAAAAGTTCGCAATTATACCTCTTGCTTTGAGTTAGCCCCAGATTAATTCTCTTTAGAAATTGAAGCGACATGTTGTTGTGATCGTGATCAAAGTTAAAGTGTTTTAATCCACTCCGCATAAGATACCATGTAGCCTTCGATAAGGAAGTTCTGTTAAAAGATTATAATCTAGTTCAAGGTATTAATACACACACACACACCTATATATGCTATATGCATAAATTAAACGGTTAATAACTTTGTTTTCAAACACAACATCGTTATTGTGTTGTTGTTGTTGTGGAAGATAATGTGTCAGCGACAAAGGCCTAATAATAGGATGTGTCTTAAACAATATATAAAAATTAATACAAACACTTCGAATGTCCTAATTTTTTTAAGATAATAATTTGATGTTTACAATAAAATTTAAGATTTTCAATTATGTAATTCTGAAATCAATTTACATCACATTTTTATCTGGCACACTCCAGTAAATGCTTATTTTACAAGTTAAGCAAAGAAATTAAGTAGAGCAAATCCATTGACACTAATACTTGATTTAATATTCATAATTTGATCCAGTTTGTTTAATTGGATTTAATCAATTTAATTGTAAACGCCATTAAAATGATAAATATCTCTCCCGAGAAGTGTAAACGTTTATCGTGTCGCACTTCTTCTTTGCATATAGTAAACGGTGTAATGAACAATTTCCGTTTTTATACCCTACACCACAAGGTGGTCAGGGTATTATGTGTTTGTGCATTTGTTTGTAACAGGCAAAAGGAAACAAGATAGACCCATAGTTCCTTTTGATGATCTGCATAGAATCACATTCTGAGACGATTTATGCATGTCCGTCCGTCCGTCTGTCCATGTATTTTTGTAAACAAAGTACAGATCGCATTTATTGCCCTATCCAGATGAAATTTGGCACTAATCATTTGTTTGGCCCAAGGACGAACCCTATTGAAATTGGAGATAATCGGTCAAAATTTGGATATAGCTCCCATATATATCTTCGTCCGATTTGCCTTTTATTGTGCACCAAACGTGTAATATCAGCCCGAATAGTATGGAATTTTGCACATACAACCAAATTAAGCATGAAAATAAGTATGCCAAATTTGATTGAAATCGGTTCAGATATAGCTACAGCTCCCATATATATTTTTCATCCGATTTGCTATTTTTGTCGTTCGCAGCCGTAATATGCACTCTGTAACAACAATATTTGGGGAAATATATCAAATACAGCTCAGAAATACATTTGCTAAATTTTATTGAGATCGGTTCAGATTTGGATATAGCTCCCATATATAACTTCGCCCGATTTACCTTTAATTGTGCACCAAACGTCTACTATTTGCCCAAATTGGATGAAATTTGGCACTTACGACCGAATTGAGTCTAGAAGCTAGTATGTCAAATTTGGTGAAGGTCGGTTCAGATATAGCTATAGCTCCCATATATACTGTTCATCCGATTTGTCATATTTGTTACCCACAGCCGTAATATGCAATCCGTAACAACGATATTCAGGGAAATATATGAAATACAGCTCAGAAATATCTTTGCCAAATTTTATCGAGATCGGTTTCGATTTGGATATAGCTCCCATATATATTTTTATCCGATTTCAAATTAATTGTGCACCAATTGGGCAAAACAAGTCAGAATTTAAAAGATACAAATGCATCGGCATATTTAGTCCTTTGAACTTTAAATTATAATTATAATCATAGCGTGTATGATTGAATTCTCCTATAAAAACTTTTAATTGTTATGCGGAGCTCTAGTAAATCAGCAAAGTGGTGTAGGGTATCATAAAGTCAGCCCCGCCCGACTTTAAGACTTTCTTTACTGGTTAAATGTGGATTTAAATTTCAATTGGTATAAAAACAATTAATATTTAGGTCAGTGATGACCAATGTAGCACATATACATTCACAGCAAGAAAATCAATCACTAGTTTAAATTTAGGCTTATGAACAGAAATAAGAATGTCTTTTCACAGCTTAAGGTTTATAATCAATCTTTTATTAAAGAGGGAAATTCTAATTAGGTTCAATAATGATACAATTGCAGAAGGCCAAAACGTTCTTTATTGAAATAACGGTTTTAGACCCTAATCCACATCCGTTTTGGAGTCGATCTAGCGATGTCCGTCTGCATGGCTGGTGCTCACGATTACGAAGGGAGTTTCCGATTTGGTCCAAACTTTGTACATCGTAATATTATTATCAAATTTAGATCGAGTACCTCCCGCACGAAGTGTCAAAATTTTGAATTTCCATGAAGCTCATAAAACGCGAATTCCATTCTGACACATCTCAATAGTATAAATGGAATCCGATGTTAATTCCGCGTTTCTTTCAAGTTAAGATCTGTTATAAATATGGTAGAGATCGGACCATTCCTTCGTGTAACTCCCCCACAAAAGGTCAAAATTTTGAATAATTTGTTTGCAATTTTGTGGATTGAAGTATTCCGTTTTCACGCTTAAAGAAAGATTTTGAACCTAAATATTTAAAGAAAATTGAATCCTAATTTTCAATTTTATGGGAATAGTTGTTAATCAAAACCTTTTGTGGAGGAGATACCAAGAGGAGTGATATGTCATATCCCAATAATTATTTCGCATGTTATTTATAATTATACAAAATTTTGACAACTCGTGGGGCTGGTATCAGAAAGATTGGGTCTATAATTTCCATATTCACACAAGATCTCTGGTTGAGCGAAATATTTAGGTATACCAAGTTTGATCGCTGACTTATTTCGCCTTTTATTTGAAGAGAACCGAAACCTTATTTCCTCTTTTTATGAGTATTTTAGTTACTCAACATTTTCACCTTTTGTACTACCAGAAGGAGTGGGTCAATAAATTAATCTTCACAACAGATCTTGTGTTAGAAGATATATTGGAATGTTCGAAGTTTGAAGGGAAGTGGTTTTCCATTTAGTATTCTATGAAAGTTTTGGTTATTAAAAATGTCGATTTCTTTTTGGGGGACTCCCCGAAGGAGTCATTCGATATTGTCCATTCTTACACCTGACCTTGCACTGATAAATATATTAGGTCTAACAAAGTTGGAACAAAATTCGATAATTCTTTCTTGTTCTATGAGGTAAATTATTTTCTGTTAATGTTTTGATCTACGGACCTACGACGCACTATGTCGCGTGTTCATATAAAAATCGGCCAAAAATAGAAGGAGTTGGCAGAAGTTAGTATAAGTACTTATTACTGGCTTATTATGTCGAGGACTGAATACTGGGAAGGTAGGTCCAGGTTTTCGTATAGCCCCATATTACGGTGCCTCCCGATATTCGGTGTTTTGTCAATTAAGGCGACATTTTCTAATGGCATTTTTTTTATATTCGGTATTTAGAGATCGTAATATTTTGTACCTCTTGTGGCAAAACATTGTCTATATAGACCCACGTTTTCCTATAGTCCCCATATGACGGTACCTCACGACATTCAGTATTTTGAAGATTAAAGCCACATTTTTCAACAGAAGTGTTTCAAATTTTATTGTTGATGTTCCCAATAGATACCAACCACTGTAGCATACAATTGACTATATAAGTTCACTATTTCCTATAGCCCCCATCTAACGATATTTCCCATTCTTATGATATTATACACTTTTTCTAACGGATTCGTTTAAGATTCTATATTTATATTCTAAAATGGGATCCAAATATGGTCGTTTTTCTATATCCTCCAATGTTACGGTACTATCCAATATCGGGAATTTTCATGATTTTTGTCACTAGTTCAACATAATTGTCCCAAACTTTGTACTGGAAAATTACAATATATACAGAAAGGTGTCTATAAAGCTTAAAGGTTTGGTATATGCTCATTTAGCATTGCCGCTTGAATAATGAATCCGAATACTTTTATTTTTAAAGGGGTTTTCACCTGTTGGAATGGATATTAACTGTAGGGTAGATGATGGCACAAGTTTACCTTCTTAATTCTACAATGACTTGAACAAGTATGCTTTGTTACAGTACCTGCAAGAATCTACTATTTTTTGCAACGATAACCGATTTTCCATTTATGATATCGACAAAAATTGCTAAATTAGTGGATTCTTGCAGGTTCTGGAGTAGCTCTGCTCCAAAATTGTATATAACTGTAAAAATTGTATATAACTTACATTTCTTCAGTATCCTTTCGACATCCTGCGGTGATATCATTTTACCATAATGATGTGTTCCAATTGGTATAGCTCGATAAATGTATTCCCCAAAAACTACACCAACCAGCCACATGGTAAGTGTTTTATTTAAAGTGGTTATGAAAATTGATCCTCCCGGCTACAACAATACAAAGCTACTTTTATTTAAATAAGACAAAACTAAAAATAAAAAAAATATTTACCTACCTTTAAAGTCTCAACACCAGCTGCCAAGAATTCGATTTTCTCATCGATATGCTCCAAAACTTCTGAAATAACAATGGCATCGTAATAATTCTTTATAGCCATAGCATGCTCCTCTATAGACTCAACTTTGTATTGTATACGATTGGCCATAGCAAGGTCTGGATCATTGAGCAAATGTTTTCGGGCAATTGCAATCATATCTTCACTTAAATCCAAGGCAGTAACATGAGCACCCCAACGGGCCAGATTTTCGGTTAATATACCGCCACCACAACCAATTTCCAAAATATTTTGATTGGATAGAATATTTTGTTTGTGTTGCAAATTTGGTGATATTTTCCCCTGGCCAATTAGGCCATCACATATGAAGGGTACTCTGTGGGAATTAAAAGCATTGCTGTGTTTCAGAACTGCAAGATTGTACAACTTTTTATTACAATAACAGACTTTTCCTTTATGATATCGAAAAAACGCTCAAAATTTAATAGATTCTGGAACAGAGCACATAAAACTGTTTATTTTTCGCTCTGTTCGCTTATTGTAGTTACATGTTTACATTCTTGCTGGATCTGGAAAAATATATACACCATCACTTACCTTATTTCATTGAGGGTATGTAGGCCTGGTACTGGCCCTGGAATATCCCACCAACTGTTGGCTAATTTTGAATGATGTTCCACTTCTTTTTTGTCGCTACGTTTTAAATTGAAAACTAACTTATTGGGGCCTGTTTGCAAGTGTCTCAATGCAAATTTATTTTGAGCGCAAAACAATTGCATCTTCCTATCAACAATAAAACATGTTGTTACTTTTTAAAATGAAAATTTAATAATTTGTTAATGGAAATCAAATACCTGATACCCGCAGCCATGTCGATGGCATGAAGAGTAACATCACTATGATTGGTAAGAATATACAATTCAATTAAGACTTTGTAATTCGTTTATCATGTGTACTGAAAACCAGCAACAACACAATTGTATTTGCAATTACTTCAACATTCCTTCGTACCGTGACTAAGATAATAATTTGCAATCTTATAATAGAATCTTAATTTATCATACAAATTAAAGGCGAAAATATGTTTGCCTCTTATCTCAGCTGGCAGTGCAGTGCATTGCGATTCTGCATTTTCATGTTAGAGTTTTTCCAGCACAAGGATATATATGGCGTCGATGGGTTGGTTATCTGTCGTAAAAGTAAAAGGCGGAGTTACTAATTTGCGAATTTTTAAGTAATTTTTAAAAATGTATAAAAGCTTATCTAGAAACTGAGTTTGGTGCAGAACAGGGGTTAGAGATTCAATGCATATTCTATAAAAAGTTCAAATGAAAAGTTCTACAAAGAAAATGTAGTATTTTTTATTTCATATTTTCCTTTTCTTTGAATTCCAACCAACGCTATCGGATATAATATAAAGCAAACTAACATTGACAGAGTAACAAACCAGTAAGGAAAAATCTAAAGTCGGGCGGGGCCAACCATATGATACCACTATGCAGTAGAGCTCTCGTAACAAAAGAATTTATTTGAAGTAGATCATACCACCTATCAACATTTGGCTTTAAGGGAGTTATAATTTGCTATAGAGTAAATTTATATCACTTCGAGAAGGAGATTAAAAAATTTATTTCGGAGCCGAGTTGCATATATCATATTCACTCCATTTGGGCTGATATTTGTCATTATTTGCACAATAAACCTGAAATCGGATTAAGGATGCATATGGGAGCTATATCTTAGCCGTTCTCGATAAAATTTGGCAAAGGTATTTCCGAGTTTTTTTAAGTTATCTGGTACCAAATATCATTGGACTTAAACTCCAAATCGGATGAAACATATATGTGGTAGCAATAGCCGATTTTCTCCAAATTTGATGTACTTGCTTCTAGACTGAATTCGGTCATGTATACCAAAATTCAGGACTTTTTGACAGATATTGGTCATTTGGTCCACAATTAACCCGAAATCAGTTAAAGTTACGTATCGAAGATATATCCAAATCTGAACCGATCTTGAACAAATTTCAAACACTTATTTCAGAGCTGTATCTGATGTCTGGTACCAAAGATCATTGTTGTGGAATGCATATTACGCATGTGAGGGACTTTAAACCCAAAATCGGATAAAACATATGTATGGGGGCTATAGCTATATCTAAACCAATTTACACAAAATTTGAAGTACTAATTTATAGGATGAATTTAGTTGTTATTGCCAAAATTCAGTCTATTTGGGTTTATATTAATCATTTGGTGCACAATAAACCTGATATCGGATAAAAATATATATGGGAGCTATATCCTAATCTGTACCGATCTCGATAAAATTTGACAGAGGTATTTTCCAGTAGTATCTGATGTCCGGTACCAAAAATCATTCTTCTGGAGTGCATATTACGCATGAACATGGGTTCATCCTTGGGTCAAATAAATATTGTTTGCAAAAGTTCGTCTCAATCGGATAATAAATGCGACCTACATTTTGTTCACAAGAATACATGTACGGACGGACATGCAGACAGACTGACATACATAAATCGATTAAGAAAGTAATTCTATGAAGATCCTCAAAAGTAACTATGGGCCTATCTTCCTTCTTTTCCCATGTTACAAACAAATGCACATAGACATAATACCCTTACCGCTATGTGATGTAGGGTATAAAAAGCAATACGTTATATACGATATATTCCAGCCAAGTGCCGCCAGAAAAACAAATTTATCTAGAGTAGCTTGGTTCCCGATGGACCATATAATGGGAGTAAAGTGCAAATGTCCCCAAGTTGTGATTTGAATCCTTAATCGATCTCAATGTCGCCTAAGCTTGGAGGTAAATCGAAAAAAGGTGGAGCTAGTTTACCAAACATCATCAATTATACTTATTCCGCCAAATTGGAACGACGTGAATAAAAATAAATGAAAAATCCTGGACGTTGTGAAACTGTCCGAGGAAGTAAATTGTCTATTAATGTAAAAAGTCGCTAGGTAAAGAGCATTGATTTAAATAATTTTAAAGGAAAGGACAGTGCGGCCTTTAAATAATCAAAACTATTTATTTCGCCTGAAAGTATGCTTCGTATTTATTAACATTTTAAATTTTATTAGCCAGAGTAGATACATGACTTTTGCTTGAATTTTTAAGTGTTCATAACAAGGAAGGCGCTATATCGGACAGGACCAACCATATGAGACCTTACAACCTACCCTGCATATTTACCGGAACTATTCATAACGTATGTAAAGTTAATCATCCAAAGGGATCATTATTGAATATGTATTTTAGTTTTTAAGGGGTTCAATTTGACATCAAATTGACCGGATAAATGGGAGCAATATCTTAATAAATAGCCCCTAAATTTATTTACCATGTATATATTTATTTTTTGTAATAAAACAACATTCCTTTTTAAATCAAATTTAACGACAACCAATTTTCCATTCCCGTTGACTTTAATGTTTTTCAAACATTTTCACCTATACATAAGCTTATAAATAGATTTATGCATGTATTTGAAATTAAATTTCAGTCTTAACCGCTTGTAAAGCATAACACATTTGTGTTGAGTTGATCCAACGCCAACTGTTGCGCCAAAAATCATAAGTCGAACCATTCACCAGTACCGTACTACAGCCCACTGTAAAAAGAAACAATAGAATTTTTTAGATTGATGTGGAAGCTTAAATATTTTGAAAAAAAAAAAAAAACTCGAATTACTTGTATCAAGAATACGCTGTACATCCAATGGTGATATCATCTTGTCATAATGATGTGTGCCAATGGGAGCTGCCTTTATCACATACTCCCCAATTACGACGCCACTAAACCACATCGTAAAGGTTTTATTTAAGGTGGTAATAAATATTGAACCTCCAGGCTAAAATAAAGAAGAAGAAATTATTATTAACCCTTTTCTGTACAGCAATTGTTTAAAATAAAATACTTCAGACACATTAATGAAAGAAGAACCACGTTTGTGGAAAGGAGGATACAAATGAAATGACACCTCTTATTACCTATGTTTGCAATATCTAACAAAAGTTCCGTCCTTCTTTCACAATACAGAAAAAATTAAATCCCAGAAAGATCCAGTGCTCTATTCCACAACCAGGAAGAGTCTAAAAATATTAACCGACTTTTCCCTTATAGTGTCAAAAAAATATATTACTAATAAGTAGTTATTTGCAGTTTCTGGAACAATAACATTGTCTGTTACAGAACCTGCAAGAATCTACTAATTTTGCATTTTTCCGATATCATAAAGGGAAAATCCGTTATCGTAGTAAGAACTTTCACATTCTTGCAGTTCTGGAACAGAGCAACAGTTGTTTTTAAGAAGAAATTCCCCTCTCCTTTATCAGGTATCTAAGAAACTTTAAGCCTACCTTCAAACACTGAACACTGGCCTGCAGGAATCCAACTTTATCATCAATATGTTCCAGGACTTCCGAAACAACCAAGGCATCATAATGATTTTGTTTATCTTTGGCATGCGACTCTATCGGTTCGATTCTATAATTAATAAGATCGCATAGTTTGGGATTTGCTTCCTGTGACAAATGTTTTCGAGCCGCTTCAATTAATTCATCACTCAAGTCCAGAGCCGTCATAGAAGCACCCAATCGGGCCAATTGTTCGGTGAGTATACCACCTCCACAGCCAACTTCGAGAATTTTTTGTCCCTTCAAGACGTTTGTTGTGCCCACCAAATCCTCAGCAATGTTTCCACGAGCTATTAAACCATCGCGAATAAATGGAACCCTAAGGGACACATTATTTAAAGAATCTTAAAAATCGTACTGAATGCTCAAGTTACCTCAATGCGTTCAGGGCATGTAAAGCTTTCATGGGGCCAGTTTTGTCCCACCAATCTGTTGCCATTTTTGCATGGTGTTGCACTTCCCGCTGTGTTTCATCGCTGGCATTTGTGCCCAATGGGGGTTGTGATGAAATAGCTTGGGTACTCGCAGCTTGAACGTTTCGAACAATATGTAGCCGTGACTGTGCCACAAGGGCTGGCAGGCACCTCCTCAGGAAAATAGACATTTTTTCCTTGTTTCGTCGAAAATGTATTTGATTTTATAATAATTTAAATAAATACTGCATTGAACTAATGATTCAATAAGTTCATAATTAGGAACTAGTTTATATGGATGAACTAGTGCCATAAATAGTCATGTCTTTTCATTTTTCCGATTTTCTGTAAAAAATGAAAATGCACATGAATAAATGTATATATAAATTTTCAGTTCTTCATGGCCCAACGATAACATGTTTGATTGGAATAATTAACAAAATCTTTTTTTATCTCAGTGGTGTGTACTCTCTAATGAGAAAAATGCGTTGTTACACAAGTTATAATGGGGTTGCCAATACATTATGCATTTCGTTTAAGGGGAATATGTTTTTTGTTGTTTTTTAATTTATTGCACATAAATAAAACCAGAAAATTCTCAAAAAAAGTGTGAAAAATATAAATAATCGTGGCATCAAGTTTTTGTGCAAACATAGAAGCAATGTGTTATTTTCAATTACATATTGCCCTTGACTTGGTAACTCTATTCACAATATTGTAACGGCGGCAAGAACAAAATAATCGACTACGGCGAACAACAACGTTAGCGGCTTCATACTCTGCACGTGGGTTATTTTTGTTTAGATTTGCCCACTTGGAACGTGTAGAAATTAAAAATATGAAGAATTTAGTTAAAAAACCTGGAAAACCTAAATCTTTGGCCACCATTGAGAAAAAGAAAAAGGTGGGCAATACAGAAGAGAAGATACAAAAAGTTAAGAAACTCAAGGAAGTCGTTGAGAAGGAAGCGGCTGAGGTAGCTCCCAAGAAACTAAAAACAAAAGTAAAAAAGACCCAAGAGTCATCTGTGGAGTCAACCAAAAAATCCAAAAAGCTAAATAAATCCGATAAAAATGATGATGGTAAAAAGAAGAAAAACAAAAAGTCCCACAAGGAGGAACTGGAAGGCTTGAAAGACATTGATCCAGAGTTCTATGATTTCTTGAAAAAGAATGACAAACAGCTATTGGAATTCAATATGTTGGACAGTGATGATGACGACGAAGAGGCTGAGGTTAAATCAAAGAAGGAAGTAAAAGGAAAAGCATCCAAGAAAGAAAAGAAATCAAAAAAGTCACAAGATTCTGATGATGATGATTTTTTGGATGATGATGAAGAAGATGACGACGAAGACGAAGAAATGGATGACGATGATGAGGAGGATGAAAAGTTTCACAAACCCAATGCTGATCTCGAGGTTGCCAGTGACGAGAGTGACTTTGAGGCCGATGAAGAACCTGAAATGGCTTCGGATGGCGTACAAAAGGTTACATTAAATCTCCTACGCCAATGGCAAATACAATTGGAGCAGGATAAGGTGCCAATAGATATTGTACGCAAAGTGACACAAGCATTCAGTTCTGCACTAGCCAGTATAACGCCCGATGCAGAACAAGTGGAATTGCCATTTAAAGTTGTTGGCTCGGCAGCCTTTAATGGTGTCATCCAACTGTGTGTTTTGCATTTGCAACCAGCAATTCTAAGATTCTTGGGTATTAAGGAAAAGTCGAATGTACCGCTTCACAAGAATAAGAAATGGAACAAAGTTCGTGGTTGTCTACGTTATTATTTAACCGATTTGATACGTCTTGTGGAACAAGTGTCCAGTCCCAATATCCTATCGGTTTTACTCAAACATCTGCATCAAATGGCCAACATGGTGGCCCCCTTTACCACATTGGGCAAGACAATTTTGAAGCGTTTAATTGTACTCTGGTCTACGGGCGATGAAACCATACGAGTGGTGGCATTTTTGTGTATCCTGAAAATCACTCGCAACCAACAGGTTGGTATAGATTCTAATAAGACAAATGGGGAAAAATAATAAAAAATGTTCCTTTACAGGTTACCATGTTAAATCATGTACTGAAGGCGATGTACCTTTCCTATGTACGTAATTCCAAATTCGTTTCCCCAAACACATTGCCATCCATCAATTTCATGCGCCGTTCCTTGGTGGAAATGTTTGCTTTGGATTTGAACACCACCTATCAACATGCCTTCTTGTATATCCGTCAATTGGCCATTCATCTGCGTAACGCTGTCATTCTCAAGAAGAAAGACAGTTTCCAAGCTGTCTACAATTGGCAGTACATAAATTCTTTGCGCCTTTGGTGTGATTTGCTGGGTCTCACCGCAGATAAACAACAACTGCAGCCTTTGATTTATCCCCTGGTAACCATTGCCATTGGTGTAATACGTTTAATACCCACAGCCCAATATTTCCCACTGCGTTTCCATTGCTTGCAATCACTAATTGAATTGGCCAAAAACACCCATACGTTTATACCCGTTTTGCCCCTAATTTTGGAAGTTCTACGCAGCAACACTTTCAACAAGAAACACAGCTCCGTTTCCATGAAACCTCAACAGTTCACGTGTATATTGCGTTTGAATAAAGGACAATTGGCGGAAAATGGTTTCAGAGATGAAGTTGTGGAACAAGTTTGTGGTCTGACATTGGAGTATTTGGCCTATGAATCAAATTCCTTGGCCTTTTGCGATCTGGCAGTGCACACAGTCACCGCATTGAAGAGTTATCTCAAGGATTGTCGCAATGCCAATTATTCCCGAAAAATTAAGCAGCTGATAGACAAAATTGCCGAAAACTCGAAATTCATCGAACAGGAACGTCGTAAGATTACTTTTGGTCTTAAGGACACGGAGCAAATACGTGCCTGGGAAACACAGGTGCGCAACAAAGGCACACCATTGGACATTTACTATAATGCCTGGGTCAAGACACATGAAACCAAGAAGAGACGTCAAGCAGCCCAGGCGGATAGTGTTAATGATGGTTACGATTTGCCAGTCCTAAAGAAACCGACTAAAAAGCCAATGTCTATTAAGAATGAAGATGGCGAAGTTGAACTGTTCCCCTCCGATTCGGAAGATGATGAGGCTGGCGATTCGAAATTACCCGGTGTTGAGGAAAGTGACGAAGAACAAATGGTCGTTGATGATGAGGAAACTAAGCCTAAGAAGAAATCTAAAAAAGATAAAAAGGAGTCCAAAAAGGCGAGCGCTGCAACAGAACAAGAAGTTGATATACCCGTTGAAGAGCCGGAAAATGAAGAAGTCGATATTGTTAAAGATTTGGATATGGATGATTGGTAGTTTTCTAATTTTACTTTATGTGGAAAGTAAATTTATAATTTTATTGACTTTATCAAATTAGTTAAGGAATAATAAAATGTAAAAATAAAAACAATTCTGTTCATTAAGCCTAGAACAAGTTTAAGCTTGAATGAGAGCCGGGTTTCGAGCTCTTAAAAACTCTGTCTACATTTTTTTTTAATATTTTCGAATAATTTGTTGCAGTAACGGACCAATTTGGGTATTTTAAGTTACTGACCACGAAACTTATTGAAGCTTAGAAAACAGTCCATGTTTATGTTTAGCCACCACACAAGGCTATACCGTAATGGTCCATTTTCCGAGGTTTTTGAAAGTCTAGAATTACGATATCTTGGATCCACTAATTGGCATAGTTTTTACTCATTTGATATGATCCTGCCCTCAATGTTGAACGTCCATTTTATATGGGTTAAGTATATTTTATGATGCACTTGTTTTATTATTATTTTTTTATTTATTTTATTAATTCTACAACATTTACTACATAAACAACGTTTCTATCACAGCAGCAGCACCATGCCTAATTTAAAACTTTTTCTCAGGATCTTTGCCGGGTATGATTTCATATTCATTATATTTGGGAAATGTTCCCACTGTTTCTTTGGGTGGTATTAGTTTACCCGAAGCATCTTTCTCCCCGTACTTCTCCTCCAATTCGGCTGCATTCCGTTTCTTCATATCCATAATTTGTAAATTTCTCACCAACTCCTCTCGCGTTGGTGGCTCCTCACGGCGGCCACGCAACCAAGCCTCCCATTCGGCTGTTATTTCATTGTCAAAAGCCTCCTTATCGGCTGGTTCAAACCATCGCGATGGTTTGCGTTTACCAATCGAGGGATCTGCTGGTATTTCATAGTATTTATTGCCAAAGTAATCCTCACCAATTAGATTGCCGCGTATTTGTCGGGGACGAAATGATTTGAAGAAATTTTGGAAAATAATTTTAATAATATCGCGTGATGGTGGCTTGGCCATAACTTAATTTTAAATTCTTTTTTCGTTTTGGAAGGAACACCAAATTCACAATTTGTTTATTTCAAGGTTATGTCTTTGTTATGACATCTTAGAGACAGGGCAATACGGTATCTCTGGCAGGAAAAACGACATAGAAAGAAAGGAATAAATACGAGGAATCAAAACAGAAAGACAATCAACAGTTACAAGTTACTACGCAATATGGCATCTCTGTCGCGAAAGACGAATAGCAAGGGTTCCTTAGATCGAAACAAACATCGTTGTAACAGGGTGCTATTTTTATTTATATTTTCGCTTTTATCATGGTAAAATAATAAAGGTAAACTCTTTTGTTAAATTCAATATGGCAACCCTTTTCTGACGATCTCGACCTTGTAATTTTTTAGCTTCTGTTCCTGGATAGCAGCGACATTCATGTTCTTTCAACTCATAAAAGAATACTAGAATGGAGATTGCGGGGGAGTTACGTATTGTAATGAAGATATTTACGGAGACTTATTGGGGCCTGCATTGGCGCAGCAACAGGTAAGGTAATTCCCACCGCTGTACCCCTGCAGAGACGATCTGGGAACATAACCAACTCTTTGCGTCCAGCGTATCTCATAAATATTGGCCTGTAGTGACTGTCATTACAAAAATGATATTTGGTAACAGATATAAGATACAGCCCAAATATATACATATATATCTTCAACCTATTTCCGGTTTAATTGTACACCAAATGGCCAATATCAATCCAAATGAACTGAATTTTGGCTCATCCGACCGAAATCAGTCTAGAATTAAGTACATCAAATTTGGTGAAAATCGGTTCAGATATAGCTATAGCTCCCATTTATATGTTTTATCCCATTTGGTGTTTAAGTCACTCACATTAGTAATATCCACTCTACCAGAGTGATATTTGGTACCGGATATCAGATACGGCTCGAAAATACCTTTGTCATCGAGTTCGGTTCAGATTAGAATATAGTTCCATACATATTTTTCAACCGATTTCGAGTAAATTGTGCACCAAATGAACAATATCTGTCAAAAAGTCCTAAATTTTGGGTACATCCGACCGAATTCAGTCTAAAAGAAGTACATCAAATTTGAGGAAAATATGTTCAGATATAGATATATGTTTTACCGATTTTGTGTTTAAGTCCCTCACATTCGTAATATGCATTCGACAACAATGATATTTGGTATCAGATCTTAGAGCTCAGAAATACCTTTGACAAACGCGAACGACTAAGATTTGGATATAGCTCACACATATATATCCTTAATCCGTTTTCAGGTTTGTTGTACAAATAATGGTTAATATCAACCCAAATGGAGTGAATTTCTGGACGTACGTTTCCATTTCGTGAAACTCGGCTCCGAATTGCCTATCCATATTTTAGTTCCCTCTGAAACCAAACTATAAAGGCTTTAAAGCCAAATGTTGATAAAATAGTTTGATATATTTCAAATAAATTCTTTTTTTTTACGGGAGCTCTACTAAATACGCATTTTGGTGTCATATAGTCGGTTCCACCCGACCTATGACTTCTCCTTACTGGTTTCTCTTATAAATGTTTTTTTTTTTCATATCATTCTAGAACAAGAATTGAGCCACTTGAGCTGTATTGAATTATGAAAATAAAAATATTTCTTTTATAATTTATTTATTAATATTGTTTTCTTTCATAAAAGTTTTCATATCACATTTTCATAGAACGGAAATTGAAGCTCTCATAACTTATTTATCATCGCCAATTCTAGTTTGAGTTGTTGGCAGGCCCCTTTTGTAGCAAAACATCGATTATATCGATATTTGTGGAGTTTTGCTAATTAAAAGTCACATGGCTGATAGTCGACTTACAAATCCCTCTCAAGAGGTGATAAAATTTTGTCGAGAAGGAACAAAAAAAAAACGACGAAATGAAATGAAGAGAAAACGTGTGTAATGGACAAATAATCAATTAAATTTGCAATAGGATTTAGTTGTTAAGTTGGCAAAGATGATGGAAGTGTTAAAAGAAAGGTCAGTATCAACGCGGAATCGGATTTTTTCATTCGTCAATTTGCACGCGTTCTTCGTCGTTGTGTCGTCCGTCGTAGAGGTGATTTAAGAAGAAATAAAAAATAAATACGAGAAATACAACAAAACCCCCCCGCTACTAACACCATGCTGCTGTGCAACGTTTAGTGTAGAGTGTGGGTATTAAATCTATCTATCTCAACAAGCAACTGACCAACAAAAAAAAAAGATTAATAAGAAATAATTTACATATAGGCATAAGCAAAATATTTTTTTAAAGGAAATTGATGTGATGTTTTGTGAGTGATCAGAAAATTGAGAAAAAAAAGATTTGAAACAAAAGAAATATGGAAAATATGGAGTGAAAAGCAAAGAGAAGAGAAAGAAAAAGATAACCGAATATAAAGTAAGGCAAAAAAAGAGTAAGAAGAAGAAAGAACGGCAACAAGAAAGAGGAAACGTTAAAGAAGAATTGATAAAGAAGAAAAATTGATACAACAAAAAATAAAGAAAAAAAAACTAACAAAACGAACATTTTCCGGTGAAAATTTGTGGACATTTTCTTCACCTCATAACAAAACGGTCAACTCTGAAAAAAGTAAGTTTTGCAGTTGTGGGAAATTTGTAAATTTAATAATCACGTTGCTCCTATTTGTTTGTTTACAGTGTTCACTTCACCATTTCATTATTCCACAATGAGACCACAACCTCCTGGTGGAGGAGGTGGGCAAACCTTAGATGCCGGTGCTGAGGAGCTGCGCAATGTTGAGTGGTACTGGGGCAAAATGACCCGAGAGGAAGTCAAAAATATTCTAGCTGGCAAACCCGATGGCAGCTTCTTGGTACGTGATGCCCTCTCCAAGGAGGGCGAATACACGCTCACCCTCATCAAAGACGGCACCGAGAAGTTGATCAAAATCTGCCACCTCAACGGCAAATATGGATTTTTGGACTGTAAATTTAACTCCGTCGTAGAGCTAATCAATTATTACAAAGTCAATTCGTTAAAATTGTACAATAAAACACTGGACATTACGTTAAGTAATCCCATCATCCGTCCCATCGAGGACGACGAACAGCCTTATAGTGATCTTAGGTATATAGCCGAACAATTTCTAGTAGTACACCGAAGACTTATCAAACAGCAGCAGAGTTTAGAACAAAAATTGAAAACCTTCAAAGCCATAGAAGCCGAACTAAATGACAAGAAACTGCACCAGGAGGTGTTCCTGAGGGCGGAGAAAATGTTCCAAAGTCAAATTAAGATTTTGGAGAATTTCATCAACTCCCAACCGCCGGCGATTAATTTGAATTGCTCCAACAGTACACCGCCAACAACAATACCAACGAATAATGCCACCCGCCAACAAGAACAAGAACAACTGCAACAAAATGCCGCCCTTATGAAGGCGCGTCTAAGTGATCTCTGCAGTGAAATGAATAAGCTGAATCATCATGTGGAAGCGAAGAAGGAGGAATACAAGGGCCTGGAGCGTGAAATCAATGCAGCCAAACCCGAATTGCAAGACAGTAATATGCGCAAAGAGAAATATCTGGAGTGAGTAAATTTTGTTGTTAAAAAAAACAATGCCTAGCATATTTCATAATTTATTGCAATAGAATTGAGTTAAATTTTAGAAAATATTTGCTTGGCTTCAACGACAAACCTATTAGGGTTGAGGTAGTGAAGTGGTTGCTTTGCTTTGCACGTTCGCCTGTTGCTTGCGTTGTCATTATGATAGGTTAGGGAGGGTGCACATTCACTGGTTGATATCAAAGATGTTTGTTTGTTTATTTTTATTACAGTTCCATTTGGTTTTAAGATTAGGCGTGACAAATAGACAATTTAGCTGCTGTATTTACTTTTATTAAATTGTATGAATTGGATTTCAATATTTCAACATAAATTATGAAATATACTGTGTGTATTTCTTCGCAAGATAAATGCAATGAATTCAAGTGCACAAAACCAGCGATCAATTTAAAATAAAAATTGAGGAAATTATAGACGTTGAATAACTTAAGTTGTTTGAAAGCTATTTTTGAAAAACTTCTAAGGTTTTGTTGCATATTTCAATTTAGGATGTAGTTTTCGAAAAAAATGCGTCCAAAAAATTTTCAAATTGCGTTTTTGTTGAATTTCCCATTTTTTCTTTAATAATTTAAATGAGTGTCTGGAGCTTGAACAAATCATATAATTGATTAAAAATTTTATTTACTCGATTCGAAAATACTCGGAGAGAGGATTTCGTTGTCCATGTCTTCATTTGTCTATGGTTTGCTTTTAAACGGTGGGGTTTAAATTTAACACAGTTGGACAAAAGCAGACAGCGATAAGTGCATTGAGGGTTAGGTCAAGGTCAAATTGACCGGTGGGTTACATACGTAAAAATCTGCCTCCATTTTCAACAAAGCGAAGATTCGAATTTTTTTGGCGATTTCAAGTTTACTCTAGGTTTTGTGATGATGAGGATAACATAAATTCCTGCATGTCATATCACTGTCTATGCTGATGGATCTGTGATAGAAGGTGATACGAGAGGTGGTGTGAGGAATTACATGTCAGCTACTTATACGGTCCCAAAAACCGCTGAAACATACTTTTAATAAAAAATTTAATCAATACTGAAAGAGTCGGAAATTTTAAATGGTGATTTCACTAGGTTTGACGGAAGTACGTCTAAATCTAAGCTGATTTTGACATAACTCATGTAAAGGTGTTTCTAGGTTGTATGTGATCATAAAACCTTTTTATACCCTCAGGCACATGGCTAGAAAGGGTATATATCATTTGATACTGCCAAAACGGTCCTTAGGTTTCTTTGGACCAAATCCGTTTCATGACATTTGGAGTCGATCTAGCGATGTCCGTCCGCCTGTCTGTCTGGCTGGAGCGCACGATAACTCTTGAGGGAAGTATCCGATTTGATTCAAACTTGGTACATCGTAATATTATTATCAAGCTTAGATGGAGCTCGGAGATGGGCAATATCGGTCCACTCCTTTCGGTACCTCTCCCACAAAAGGTCGCAAAATTTCAAAGAAAATGTTTTATTGCACAGAAAGAGAAAGGATAATCCGATTTTGCTCCAACTTTGTAAATCTTAATATTTGCATCAGTGCTAGGTCCGGTGCGAAAATGGACAATATCGATTCACTCCATCGAATACCTCCCCCACAAAGGGCCAAAATTTTGAATATTTATAACTCTTATAAAATGTGATGTAAGTGTCCGATTGTCTTCAAATGACAGACATTACAATATTTTAATTAACCCATGGTCTGGTGTGAAGATGGAATATATCGGTCCACTCCTTCTGGTACCTCCCCCACAAAGGGTCAAAATTTTCAATATTCATGAATCTCATAAAACAAAAAATAAAAATCAGATTCGCACGTCTCAATATTTTCATCAACACGAGAACTATTATAAATATGGTAGAGTTTCTACCATTGTTTCTGGTACCTCTTCCACAAAGGGCCAAAGTTTGGAATAACCAAAACGATTATAAAATCCGAAATAAGCCTCCGGTTCTTTTCATATTTCATACACCCCATTATTTCTACTAACACAAGATCTGCTGTGAAAATGGAATGTATCGGTCCAGTCCTTCTGGTACCTCCCCCACAAAGGGTCAAAATTTTGAATATCCATGAAGTTCATAAAACGCGAAATTAACATCCGTTTCCATTCAGACTTTGTACATCTCAATATTTCTATCAGCACAAGATCTGTTATAAAGATGGTAGAGATTGGACCATTCCGTCTGGTACCTCCCCAACAAAGGGTGAAAATTTTGAATAACCAAAACGATCATAAAACCCAAAATAGGCTCCCGGTTTTCTTCAAGTTACACGCATCACAATATTATTATTATCCCAAGGTCTGGTGTGAAGATGGAATATATTGGTACACTCCTTCTGGTACCTCCCCCACAAAAAGGTTCGAAATTTTGAGTATCCATGAAGCTAATAAAGCGCGAAATTAACATCTGATTCCATTCAGACTTGGTACATCTCAAAATTTTCATCAACACAAGATCTGTTATAAGGATGGTAGAGAGTGAACCATTTATTCTGGTAGCTCGCCCACGTAGGGTTCAAGATTTTGAAAAAAAAAGCTCAAAGAAAGCGAAATAAGCATCAAACTCTCTTCAAATTTCAAACATACAAACATTTTTCCTAACACAATATCTGTTGTGAAGATGATATATATCTGTGAACCTCTTCTGGTATCTCACCCACAAAGGGTCACAATTTTCAATACTTTTATTTGCCATAACTTTACAACTTGTTATATCTAAATATTTGTCTCCTACCAGAAACCTGTGATGAATGTTCGATTTCCTTTAAATTTTGCACATACCAATATTTTTATCTGCATTAGATGAAGTATGAAAATGGAATACTTCGGTCCGATATATCTGTCAACTCACGCATATTTCCACATTTTCCAAAAATTTGCACATATTCCATATAAAGTATAGGAAGTAGTCGATATAGTCCTAATCTGCCACGTTGTAACATTTATATCAGTCTTAGGTCAGATACGAATTGGTCAATATTAGTCTACTGCTTCGGAACCCTTCCCCCTATATTTTGAATAATCATAATTTAAGACTGGGGTATACATTTGTCGGAAAAACCGACTGATCATATTTTTCTTGTTTCTCTGGTCTTTGATTTCGATTTAGCCATTGCCCACATTTCACACTAACTCTTTCTAATGTGGTCTTGCCACATTATCCTTTTTGCTCCTTGAATAACCTATTGCCCTTTAATGTCAGTTCTATGACATTGCACATTCGATGGTCTCACTGCCTCTGCTCTGGGGTGTTTGGTCTCACTACAGGTATTAGTGAGCAGCTGTTCTTGTTGAGATATTTCAATCCTTTCTGAATTCATTTCAATCTATTTCTCCCAAAAGTTAAAACAAAAAAATTGAAATTGAAATAATTTAAATAAACATTGATTGACTATTAAAATCATTAAAACATTTAATTGAACATAAAATTATGTATGTTAAAAATTCATTAACACAATATTACAAATTTGTTATCACTAATTTAATATAATTTAATTTGCCATCACTGACCAAATGATCGACATATGAGAAAAAATACAAAAAAAATTCGATTTCAATTAGCATTAGTTTAGCTGACAGTAGTGACTTGTACAAAACTATCGGGAGAAAGCCTACAATTTTGCCACCATTTGATTATATTGAAAATATACCACACCAAATGGCGCCTAGATCCGAAATTCTTTCTAGATCTCTGGTAATGACTTCCCCTCTGACGATGCACTTTTGTAAGCACATAGGGTTCAATTATTTTAAAATCTGTACTGCTCATCCGTTTGCTTCACGAACGAAACCTATTGAAATGGGTGATAATCGGTTCAGAATATATATCCAATCTTCTATATTGAAGCACGAATGTCAAATATGTTGAAAAGATGTTCAAATAAATCTCCTATATATTTGATACAAGGTTTCAGATACAGCCTAGAAAAACTTGATCAAATTTTGATCGTTTCAGATTTATATATTGCGCCCATATGTATATTTCCTACGGTCACTCCCAGGTGAAATTGATTTGGTCAAGGATAAGACTTTGTGATGTCTATGTTTGCAATTGAAAACGCTTCAAGACGACTCATTTTGACAAATGAATTCTATTTCGGGGAATCCTTTAGTGTGATCTCTCCGATATTTCCTATGGTCACTTCAAGGTTAAATTGGTTTGGGCCCACTGTAAAGAAATGGTCAATGATACAACTTTTTGCTGTTTATTTTTGGAAAGAAAATATATATAAAAAAATATATATAAAATATAAATACTTATATATCGACAAAGAAAATTCTTTGGGGAATTCTTCATTGGCCTCATTTCTGACATTTCTTATGGTCACTTCAAGGTGAAATTGATTTCGGGCCCACTTTAAGCAAATGGGTGAGGATACAATTTTGTTGTGTCCGTTTTTGAAAAGCGCACCTAAAACGCTTCAAGACCTATTATTTTGACAAAGCATAGCAACCGGGAATTGGCAGCATGACTTAGATTTTGCGAAAATAATACATTTATGAAATTGGCTTGGGCCCACTTTAAGGAAATGGTCAAGGATGTGACTTTGTTATGTCTAGTTTAGAATGAGCATCGAAATGCTTCTAGACCATTCATTTTTACAAAGGAAACCCTTCGGGGTATCTTTCAGTGGCCTGCCTCGTCGATATTTCTTATGATCACTCCAAGGTTAAATTAGTTTGGGGCCACTGTGAGGAAGTGGGTAAGAATATTATGTCTTTGTGCATTTGTTTGTAACATGAAAAAGGAAACAAAAAGACCCATATTTACTTTTGTGGACCTACATAGAATCACTTTCTGAGTCGATTTATGCATGTCAGTCCATCCGTCTGTCAGTTGTGAACATTTATTATCCGATTGAGATGAAATTTTCCAAACAATATTTTTTTGGACGAACCCTATTGAAATTTGTGAGAATCGCACCAAATTTAGATAAAGCTCCCATAAACTACGCACCCCACCAGAATGATAT